GGAGCGTGGTCGCTGTCCAGATAGCACGGTGGTTTAGTGGTAAGGACGGGCCTTAGAGTCCTGCGTGCTGAGACTCGTCCGCGGTAAGTTAATGCTGTTCCATTCCCACCTGTTTAAAGCGAACTCTCTTCTCTCTAAGAAGCAGAAGCTTGTGAAACAGCTGCCTCTAAGCTCTCTCTGCTTAGAAACAGATTCACCTGCACTGGGACCGGAAAAACTGGTAGGTGGATCGCTGGTTTCTGGGGTACAGATGCGTCTTCCGTGGGGGCTATTCTGGCTTGGCTGGGACTCGCTGCAGTACTCGGATCCTAAGCTGAGGCCGTGTTTCCTGTAGAGTCCTTTTCTTTCTATTTTATTTTATTTTGGTTCGGTTTTGTTTTTCCAAGACAGGGTTTCTCAGTGTAACAGCCCTTGCTGTCCTGGAGTTCACACTATAGCCCAGGCTGGCCCCAGACTCACAGAGATCCACCTGCCTCTGCCTCCAGAGTTCTGGGCTTAAGGCGCGCGCCACCACACCCAGCGTCGAGTGCCGGTGTTAAAGCAACCATGCCCAGCTTCATTAGCTTTTTAGGATATCATCTTTCCTTTGAACAGGATACTGTCTCATAGAGGTGAAATGAGACATTCCAGGAAGGGAATGAAGTCTTATCTGTGAAAAATCACTAGATTTAAGATCTCAGGTCCTTCCAGACCATTCTATTCATATACGTGTGTGTGTGTGTGTGTGTGTGTGTGTGTGTGTGTGTGTGTGTGCCTTAAGATATATATATCCTTAAGAAAGGATCAGCCTGAACACACTATTTCATACCTTCTGTCAGAAATATATATTATAGATGTACTTTTCCTCAGTGTTTAATAACCACATAATGTTCCACTGTTAAAACTTGGTATTAGGAGGGATGGCTTTGGGGTTAAGAGCATTGGCTGTTCTTCCAGAGGACCTGGGTTCTATTCCCAGTACCCACATCATGGCTCACTACCATTTGTAATGCCAGTTCCAGAGAACCCAATGCGTTCCTCTGGCCTCCACAGACAACAGGCAGGCATGTGGTATGCACACATACACATAGGTAAAATGCTCCTACACATAAAGTAATAAAGGCATAATTTAAAAAAAAACTTTGTATTAGTCACACACACACACACACACACACACACACACACACACACACACACACGTTAATTTTCTAAGATAGGGTCTCATGTAGCCAGACTGACCTCAAAGTCAGTGTGTAGCCAGGTTAGGCTTTAAACTCCTGACCCTCCTGCTTCTGCCTCCCAGGTGCTGGGGGTCTAGATGTGTGCCACCACGTTCAGCCAGTCTGTAATTTAAGTACTATGAGGAACAGCTTTGAATGTGAATCTTTGACATAGTTCTTATTTTTTTAGTCTGTATTATCAAGTATTTTTTACTTAATAATTTTATTCCTCTAATTATTATCCCAAATATCCACTTATTAATAATTACAGGAATATTTTTCACTAAATCTAAATGCCATTGATTGCAGAAATACTGTTTTTTGTTTTGTTTTGTTTTTTGGTTATTAAGACATTCCACTGAGTGTAAGCAAAATGCTTATTTATTTCACAGGTTATAAAAGTCAGTGATATGGCAGGACCTAATTGAGCAGTCTTTCCAGTCCCTGGAGCATTTTAAGTCACACTGGGCAGGTGGCCTGTGAGGTGAGAGGCCAAGGAGAGTGCAGTGACCTTTCCCAGCACTTATGCATGCAAAAACACAAAGATGGCTAACCCCTCGGACAAGCTGCTCCCCCGGGTTCAGATGTGGACTGCTTCATATGCTGGTGCTCAGGGCTTGGACTGCAAAAGCCTCTAGGTTCTTTTCTGAGCAGCATGGATGTAGACTCAGCATTGTAGCCGCACCCTGTCAAGTCCATCCCCCGTTTACAAAAGCTTTAATAGAGAAATGTCAGTTCCTCCAGAGTAGGAAAGTAGCTCATCGGGGGTTTTACCCGCTCATTCTTGTGTGTGTGTGTGTGTGTGTGTCTTAGCTGCCGTCTCCAAGGATCTGTACAGACTTTGAGTGTTCAGCTTTGTTCTCTTTCAGACACGGAATGAGCCCTGCAACATCTCCATTTCAGCAGAATTCATTGCCCAAGTGAAAGGGATCTCAGTGGAAGAGGTCCAAGAAGTGACGACACAGAACGCATTAAAACTGTTTCCCAGGCTTCGGTACCTGCTCCAGAAATAGCTTCAAACCACCCACTGCCCGGCCAAGTCAGCTCAGGGCCGCACTGGGGAAAGCAAGCGTTGGCTTTAGTGGTCTGACATGAAGAAGCCGGTGTATATGGATAGCAGTCATAGTTTTACAGAAATGTTTCTCTTTAAAACAAATTCTGGGCCGGAGAGATGGCCCAGCCACTAAGAGCACTCATTTGCTGCTCTTCCAGAGGACTCGGGCAGTTCCCAGCACCCACAGTGGGTGGGTTGCAACTGCCTGCAACTCCATGCAACTCCAGAAGATGCAGCCCCCCCCCCCCAACTTTGAATTAGCCAAGTCCTGGAGCAGACTGGAAAAACACCACAGACACGCTAGCTTCCGGAGTTATTGCCCACTTGAGGGGAGGAAAGCCTCAAGGGACTCCCTCCCCTGCCGCCGCCGCCGCCGCCGCCGCCGCCGCCGCCGCCGCCCCAATCCTGCTTTCCCCCACTTAACAGTAGGCTTATAGAAGATGCTCCATGGAGTGAGAGAGCAATGGAAGAGATATCTAGATAGAGGGAGACATTGTGGGGTAGGGAGAAACCTGGTACTAGGGGAGCTCCCGGGAATCCACAAGGATGACCCCAGCTTAGATTATTAGCAGTGGTGGAGAGGGTGCCTGA